TTTTTTCAAGAAAAAGAATCTATACTGTACAATTGAAGCAGAAACGACCAAACTGGCGATGTGATGTCTTGGGGGGACCCGATTATGATTTTGTCGCTGGTTGCTTGTTGTGGGATGATTGCGGACGGCCCTTGTTGGCAATATAACTTCGCAAGAAAGGAGTGACTTCCAAACCAAAGGTCTCCATCTCTTCCAGAGCGACCTTGAGACGAGGGTCGGATTCTCTGACCAGCTTTCTTACGAGATGTTCATAGCACATACGAGGTGGGATGATGTTGTATTGTTTCATTTCCTCCAAGTACAAGAAGGCGTCTTCGTAGTTGGATTGGGTGCATGACAGCATGATGCACTTTGTATACGTGGCGATGTTGGGGCTAACATTAGCCTCCTTCATGTGCGTCAAGATCAAGTCTCCCATCTGTCGGTTGCGTGCCAACAAGCAAGCATCCAAGGCGTAATTGTAAGTATCGATGTTAGGCTTGACACCGAGTTTGGCAGCCTCCTGATAAGTTGATATTGACCGGTGAAGGTCTCTAGCCTTGACACAAGCTCCCAACACAGTGTTGAAGGCGATGGTGTCAACCTCCTTGCCTTCCTTCTGCATCTGCTCAAGTATATAATAGGCCTGATCGATCTGCTCAAGGTTACCGTCAAGACTTTCAAGAATGGGGTTGGCAGTATGTTTGGTGGCAGGAATAGAAAAGCTGCGCATGATTTCCAACACAGAAAAGGCCTTTTGGATATCGCCTTGCTTGACAAAGGCTTGAATTAGGGGTGCAAAGTGTTGCTCATGGTATTGGTAGCCTTGTTGACCCAGACTGTCGATCATGTTGGATGCAAGCTCGGTGTTACCGATGTTTCCAGCGAAGTTCAGCACTGCGAGGGCCGTACCATCATCTGGCAGACTCAAGTTTCTTCGTTGAATTATCTCCAAAATACCATTGACCACCTCAAGCTGCAATGGATGAAGGAAAGGAAAAAAAGAAAAAAAAAAAACAGGTTAGCAACCCTGGTTGACTCATTCACGACAATCTTCAAATCCATGCATGCATGACTGACTCACATTCTCGTTTTTGGCAGCGGAACGAAGCAAAGGCAAAGCAATGCCGGGCGCGAGTCGTAGTGGCAAGTTAGCCTTATCTGCATCCTGCAACATTTTCCACCCAAGCTCTAATTCGTCGAACTCGCCGCAAAGTCGGACTAGGTGATCATAGCAAAGTGCATTTGGTCGCATTCCCTCCAGCAGTGCTTTGTCATGAAGATCAAGTGCTTGCTCAATGTTTCTGGACTCATGCAGGGTTTTGATTATGTTGTAATATGTGATGGCGTTGGGCTGGATACCTTTTGCCTTCATAATCTCCAAAACTGTGGATTGTTCAAGAACATTTCCTTGGTTGGACAGCGCCTGAAAAATGCATATCTGTCAGTAGCCTACTCAAACCAATCATGAAAATCGATACTTTGCTTTACTCACCTTGGTCACGATGTTAAAGACATCAACACTTGGCGTATAGCGTTCCAGGATGGTGTCGAAAGTATTCAACATCCTCCTGTTGTCTTTTCTTAAGGCGTAAAATTGCAACTTGTATACCCAAGTGTCAAGGTTGTAGTTCACACCTTTTGCTTCCATTTCTTTGAAGATATTTGACATGGTGTTCAAGCCGTTTGGAATATTCTGCTTGGTGAATAAAAGCATGTTCTTTGCGAGCTTTGTGTGGTAGAACTTGATAGGACGCACAGTGTCTGAAGCATGTTTACCTGCCTGCTCTTGCGTCAAGTCTGGAACTTGGAGCGTACTATTGAATCGTACAAGAGCTGATGTCGCCACAACGGGAGAGGTTGAGTATGGAAGGTGGGGTTCCCATGTCAAAAGAAAAAAGTGCACATACCAGGTAGCTGCTTCCTTCCAATGTTCAGCGGAATCAGCTTTGTGAGGATGTGCGTTTTTCCTGCTGTTGATGCGAGCATGTTGGAAATGTGAGTGGGCTACAACAGCTTGGAATTTCAAAAACACACAATAAAAAAAAACCCAAATTATTTTTCCAGGACCAAAAACATTCAAGTCACGTGTTCAGTCGCGTCCTTCAATTCTTCGCTTTTTTACGTCGCGCGCCTTTGCCAGTTTTGCGGTCCCGGTTATGATCTCGCTTGCTAGCTACAAATTCTGAACATGTCATTGGATTCATCACCTTCTGTGAAAGAAAGAGCTGCTGCCATAGACCGGCGAGTCAGTTTAGAAGCTGAGAATGAGAGGTCAGTGTCCTACCCACCTTGCCACTGTGTGGCCGGTTATTAACTATATTATATTATACAGTCGACGGCTATCTGGCGAATCGAACCAATATACTTATAGAAGTAGCAAAGCACCGTATCTGCAAAAGAAAAAGATGAGAACGGTCGAGCCGCTGTCGTTCCAACCCATGCGGCCTACCAGAATCTTTTCCAGAGAAATAGAAGAACGAGCATTACAGCCTAGGCGACAGACACCAGGCTCCATCACAAAGCACTCCTCACCCATCAATCATGCCGGTCGTATACAGTCCATAAACGAAATAAGAGAGTCCATCAAAGTTATGAAGCAAAGGATCGATACAACCCTTTCGTCAGATCAGCCCATTGATACAGAGATGTCTGCCCATGTAACACCTCAGCGATCGTACGCAAAGGAACTGGACAGAAGTCAATTTTCTGGAACACGAAACCGGTTTAGGGAAGCTCATGAAAAAAGAAGCTTTCAGCAAAGCAACCATTCACTCGCTATATCTGAAATCGAGCACGACATCTCGCGTATCAGTGACCAGCCGTCTTTCCACGGACATCCTACGTCGAATGACCACGAACAAGACCGTCTGGCCATGGTGTATGCGCAATACTTGCAGGCAATGTATAAAGCATCTCACGGGGCTAAGGAGATGGAACGGCAGCAGGCTGCCGCAGAGGTGAGCACCATGGTAAAAGATCAACAAGTTTCAACTGAACCGTGTTGTTGATCTTTCTTTTTTTTTTTCCAACTAGGCGCGTCTTGATAGCGCTCAAGCCCTTTTGGCCAGCCGGCAGAAGGAACTCAATGTGTCTGAATCCAAGATTAGAGTTGCGACAGAGATCGCCACGTTAGATGGACTGATAAGTAAACAAGTAAGCGTACAGAGATAATTGCAACGTGGGGTGAAGTGAAATGGACTTTACATTGAGCAACACCCGTTCTAGAAGGATAGCTTAATGCAAGTAGCAAAAACCTTGTCTCTTTTCAAGAGCCCTGTTGAACTATATATGGAAAGGATGGACAAAGCAACCGTCATTGTTCCACCGAAGGATTCAATGTGGCAGGACCTTGGTATGTGTAAAAGAGTTTCCGAAATGATACCCATTCTACCCTATAGTTGATACTAACAGCGATACATGTAGATACCTTGAAAGAATCTGTTCAAGCATGCAGTGAAGCGCTGGGTGAACTTATCAAGACGCAAGCAGAAGACAAGGTAAGGCAACAGCTGCCCTAGGAAAGGGAATCCTTGTAAACAACGGTGCATGTTAACTAACGATCAGATGGAATCTTCTGATGTCTCACCTTTAGCAATCAACAAGGTTGCTCATGGCGAACCAAATAACGTGCACAGCGCTCAAAGAAGAAATCGATTTATTGTGTAGTTGCAAGCAGATCATCTCGTAATTTCTTCTTCTACAGTATACGTAGTCCCAATAAATTTGTACATAGGGTAGGGTTTTCTATACTAGTTCTAATGGCTGGCCTTAGTAGTGACTATGATATTGATCAAGGGATTCTCTAAACGGATTTCGCCATGGTTCCTCTCTATACATGGACCAGGTTTCACGATTTTTCCGTTTTTGCTTCAATTTGCTCATTACAAACACGATCATGGCAATCAGGAATACACCTGAGAGAACGCTGATGATGACGGGGACGGCGATATTGGCACCAGGCGACCCACCACTGCTTGCATTCACACTTTCATTCACCAACGTTGGAGAGATGCTAGCTATGGCGGAGGATACGTAAGTGAAGGAAGTGACTGTGGCGAGATGCGTCGTGGTGATGAGCGGCGTGGTGAGTGCGCTACTACTAGTTAATTCACTATACGAAGCGGACGACGTCGACGGTGTGATTGGAGGTAAAGACGTAGTGGGTTTGGGTCGATGCTTCCGCTTGATGGACGTAGTTGGAATAGGGGCCACACTGGCTGTGCTAGCACTGGGGGCACGATTCTCTGTCTTTGAAGAATGGGCCTTGGTGTTCGTTTTTGGAACATCCTTTGGCATGGAACTCGCGGTATCAGGAATCTCATCATTGGCTGCTGGGTCCTCTGGATGCCTTGATTTTGCTTCATCATGCGGAGTCGGTCCAGGATCCTTTCTAGGCTTGTGGCTGCTGCCCCCAGCACCTGGTTCTGAATGTGGTTGATGAGAATTGATTATATCGAGTGGGTCATCAAGAAGTGGAGACAGCAGATTAGGTGAATCACTCATAGTAAAGTAATCCTATACAGAAATAAGGGAAACGAAGAAGGAAGATGGTGAGGAAATCAAGGAGGTGTGAAGGCACCTACAGGTTTTTCCAAAACTACTGCGTTGGACCTATGTATCCATTTTCAGGACGGGGCCATTTGGGTTAACGTGCCTAAGCGAACGATTTCTTCCCGAATTTGATGATTTCCCCCACATATTTCGCACAACCCCCCACATCGACCGTTAACGGGAGATAACCAAGTTTAATACTACGGAAAAAAAAAAAAAAGCGGGGGAGGGGAGGGGCAGTTTTCTCTTATACTGTATATACAAAAACAGAAGGAAACGAAGGTAGACGAGATTATGGGTGGGGTGATATAGATATGATACATTATTTCGTTAGTTACATGGAATCAAAAAAGAATTGCGGAGGGGTGTCCAAATGTTGTGACATAGTCATTTGAGGTGGTATTGAGAAATATTGCTCATCGGAAAGTTGCTGCGGTGGTGAAGGCTGCAAATTCTGACGTTGTTCAATAGCGGCAGCACACCCATTTTCAACTTTAAGATGTCTATTCAAAGCATCGGTTCTAGCAAATGCCTTTCCACAGTTGGGACATACATGGGGTTTGATGCCCGAGTGTAACTTTGCATGTCGGTTTCGATCGTGTTGTCGTGCAAACGCCTTGTCACATGTAGGGTGTGGGCATAAAAAGGGTCTTTCTGAGGTGTGAGTGCGAGAATGCGATGACAAGTTGTAAGGTCGAGTGAATGTCTTTCCACATCCTGGATGTTCACATTTGTAAATGGTGTTGGCATCCTCCTTGTGTTTGCTCACTGATTTACTTCGCCTTCGAGATGGGACGGACAAAGATAAAGAATCCATTTCATTGGGTGATATGTATGGAGGTTCCGATAATCGTCTTCTGCGGTTGGCACTGGTGGCAGGATTGAGTAGCTGGTTGGAGGGTGACGGCTCCCGTGACGACATGGGCACTTTATCTTGAAGATTGTACTGTCGAAGGAATTCTTGATAACCTTGATCAAAGTTCGCTTGTATACCGTCCACGCCTTGTGACTGATCGATCAAGTCATCCAATAACTTCATATTGTTGACACTGGCTTGGACAGGTGACGGTTCGACCACTTCGATGGAAATGGACGGTGTTCTCAAGTGAGAATGATGATGATGTGCGTGATGATGCCCATTGCTCGCTGCTTGACCGAGTTGAAACGGTGGGTCCGGAAACACAGGGGTATCCAACATATCACCTAATTCAGGATTGTTGCTTATAGATGGGACATCGGTATTCAAGTTGAGGGTAGCAAAGTCAATTTCTGCCGACAAAGCCGGGGAATACAAGTAATGATTGGGGGATGCAGATGGGCTGGGATAGAACGACGAGTCTCCCGATACGGATGAGACGGCGTCCCAAGCATTTTGCATACCTGGATGGTATTGGTTATCGAGAGCGTGGTCTGAGTAGTCGGAGTAAAGCGAGCCGACGGGTGAGTGAACCGACGAATTTTGTACGGCGGCCATCAGCATGGCATGTTCTTCTTCTGGAGTGGGAGCTTGAAGACCCACCGAAGATAGTTCGTGGGGTTGCATTAAACCTTGCTGTTGCTGAGCCCACTGCAGAGTTTGATCGTGCTGGCTAGCGTCCCAAGGTAAGGAGGCCATTTATTTCAAAGATAATAAAGTGAAAGAGAAGGTAAGAGTGAAGGAAAAGAGGAAGAGAAACGAGAAAGCAGAAAAGGGTTTTTATAAACGTGAAAAAATAAATAAAAAGATATGCTTGGTGTGTGCAACGGTAATCAACCCGCTTAAATGACAGATGAGCGCGCAAACACAGAGAGGAGGTGGAAACGGAAGGGGATGATGGAAGGAGCCGGTCTCTTTCATTCTACCTCCTTGGTTGCCATGCCATTGCTCATTCATTCATTCACCATGCCAGCCCGGTCTTTGCTTTCTTTTGTCTGTTTCATTCGGTCGTGGCTGTGTTTAGCTCGAAATGGGAAAATTTTACAAGGACATCCATTTCCAGTAGCTTCATTGGGGGATCATCTTTAGGCCAGTGAAGTGTAAACCTGACGCTGACTAACCTGCTGCTGCTACATTACAGAGTTGTTTTGTACAAGCGAGCCTCTTCATAAGCCTGCCAGAACCGTATATTTTAAATTTGCTTACATCAACATTCACCATTAATCATCTGAGGCGAAGCTATTGCTACCCAAGCCTTGCTTGTATTCCCGCTCGCTCAATTTATTTCTTCTAGCTAAGAAGCCGATCTGATTTGTAACCGACAGCTTCAGCACAATCTTTGTTTACCTATTTTCATTCGTCCCGAGCAACAGATCATGACGAAGCTCACGGGTGAGGCTTAGGGTTGGCCCAGGTAAATTTCATTACGCATGTCTGCTATAGTTCATGTTGATACCAATAGCCTAAATAATGCTGGGGTTCAGGTCGGTGAGACGATCAAGAGGTTTGTGTTGGTTCCATGAAAGGACGTCTATTTCTGTCCCAAATAGTGTACACTCCATTGAAACGATTCAGCAGGAGTTGCTCTCCCTTTGTCAACGCTGTTCTTCCAAAAACTGTTCAAAGCCTCACTTTACGCCATGAGCAGCAAGACGAGTCAGGTGGCTTCAAGGTGTTTGCCTAAGGATGGGTTATTTATGGCACAGCCAATAGAAAGCTCACTATGATCCCCCTTGGTCAGCACCTTCTTAACATTTTTAACAAGTTAGTCGAACGGGATTTGTATTAAGCGCGGGGAAGATCAGCTTAATAATAAAGACTGATTTACCTGGTATTTGTGCCAGAAAACCAGCTTTATGGTGAATGGTTAAACTTTCAGTGAAATGCGTCTAACTGATCGACTCAAATGTCGCCGGCCGCGATCTTCCAACGGCCATGCTATTCCACGCAAAGGTATAGTGTGTAAATTGAATTTTATATATACACGAACGGGATTGGCTCCATAACCAAAAATAATAATAATAATGAAAAAAAAAAAAAAGAAGGAAGGGCATGGATAAAAGCAACTACAGGGTTTTGGTCCATGGTATCGAAACTTGACATCTACCAGAAAGCACACCTAAAAGGAAGAACAAAAAAGTCAGGGGAGGGGATCTCACTGGATGATTCATCACATACATAGCAATACAACGTACCATCCAACATAGCACTGGCACAAATTCTCCAGAGAAGTAGCTTGTTGTATGAGCCTGTCGACTTGCGTTGGGACATCCAGTGTCTGTGAAGGCAAGAAATCTTTTCCACTAAGCTTGTTGGATACACGGTGAATGACATCCACAGCTCTAGTATTGAGAATCTCAGGTGCTCCGGCCGCTTCTTCACTTGCTGCTGCCTCGATTTCTTGTCGACTTTGACGGCGACTAACGGAAAATCCATGGTGCTCTCCTTCCATCTCATCCATGTGGAGTTGATCTACACTTCTGTTTCTATCAACGGTGGCTAAAGGAAGAACAGAAGCGCGTTTAATCCACTTGACAAACTTGCCCATTTTTTTTTTTTTTATATGCCAATCCTGCTTACCTTGTCTAGGACTAGGGTTAAGAGTGTGGGTCAATCTCCAGTTGAACAGAGGGTCGTACACAAAGGCTTCGAGAACAGCCATCAAACTCTCCTTGTTATCGCGTAATACCCGCATAACATGCTGACACGTTATACGGAATGTGCCTTCCACACCGCTGACTTCCATAGCCTTGACCAGCATTCTCGTCAGACGGAATGGGATTTTTTCAGGGAATTTTTCGCGATGCATAGCAACCTACGTACAGGAAAATGTGCATGCATGCCATTAGTATAGGTAGCCACCGCTCGCTTCTTGAGACTCAACAATTTGCTTATATCGACTTACCTCGAAACAGTCACCAAAGTCAATATGCACTATCTTGCCAGTAATTCTATCCAGCATAAGATTGGAAGGATGTCTATCACCAAGACCAAGGACATAACCCACCATGGACATAACAGCCAAAGAACGTGTAAACGTGGTACGGCGATCCAACCATGCTTCTGAATTCCTACTCTTTAACCACAGCACACGGTACAAGTCCTGACCACTGGTCTTATCAAATGCAAATTGGAAAACTTCCACCTTCTGGAGTAATGTAAGATTATCATAATCCGGTGCCATCTGCATGATCAAAGTGGTTAATATGCCGGTGTCACCTCACAGTATTTTCAGTTGTGACTTTTAAACATGTACCTGTAGCATAAGTCGATGTTCAATGTTGAGTAGAATTTTTCGGCTTTCACGGTAGTCTCTGATCAACGAATGTAAAGTGTCGGTATCGGGAACCCATCCAATGAGACCAGAGTTGGGTGATAGAGGAATGGCAGACATACGCTGGATATTGAGATGGCGCTTGAATGTTTCTGGGTCGTTGGACAACAAGGTATTCACCAAACCAAAAAGTTGCATCACACGTTCGTCCTGTCGTAAATCTTCATGACCCTTGAGCAAATAAGTGTAATCCTTGCCATCACTACCAATGATGGTGAGTCGTCTAGGTCGTTGTTTAGATGCAATGACAGACAGGTTGGTGTGGAACTTGGCAATGCGAACAATAGGCTCGCCAGCACGATAAAATCCAGGCATGCACAAGTCGAGATCATGTGCCTCCAAAAGCTTGGGTGAGATATATTGCAATTCCAAATTGTTAAGTTGTGGCAGCTGTTTGCTGATACGACGGAAGACCTGGTAATAGAGTTCCCATGCTTGATTTAAATTGTTCTGATCTTGCGATTCTCTGTATCGTTTGCACCACTCTTGGGCTTCCTTCAGATCGCGCCCAAACGCTTGGTGGAAAGATTCTTCTCGTACCGTTTCTGGGCCCCTATCTAACATGTTATGCAAGGGTTCCAAAGTACTAAACATAGCCTCAATGTTGCTATCACCGAAATAGAGTCGAGACGCTTCCTCAAGACCTTCATGCCACATTTCATGCCAAAGAATAGCAACTCGAATAAGTTCTTGACTGACCAATAACGCTTGATCCACAAGTTTGGCGCTGTGAATGCGCATCCTATCCATAATGGCAAACGTCGCTCGCTTGCGAGAAATGCTCTGTGACTTGGAGGCCACTGTAAGCGAGTATACCAAGGCTTGTGGATGCACTTTGCCAATCTCGGTAAGAAGTTGGTGGATCAGTCGTCTAACATTAGGGTTAGGTGCGTGTGTACGAGCAATGAGTTGAGGAATGACTTGGAGCCAGATGTCAATACTAATGTTATCAAATCCTTCGTTGATTGCAGAGCTGACATCGGGATGGTAGGCATATTTGAACCATAGAGTCAACAGTCGTAGAGTATCCTGCAACGAGTTTTCTTTAGACAGGGCAATAGACCAGAAAAATCCTTGGACGGCAGGCACAATATGCTGCTCCACAACATTATTTGGCATGTTTTCTCCATGAATCGATTCATAATGATTGATGACTTCAAAGTTGGCCAATGCCCAGGTATGCCAAGCCTTGTACCAGTTTTGGTCAAATCGAGTGGCAAGCAGAAGCGATCTCAAAATATCAGGGAAGGTGTCTTCAACAAGGTCATCGTTGAGGGCCCGTTGCCATTCACCTTGTTTGAGATAGCATCGTGCAAGCAAGTTGGTATACTCAGCAATATCCTCATTAATTCGACTTGGGTCAATGGGAAGCGATACAGCCATCTCATCAGGATTGAGACCAAGGTCTTGTGTCTTTTGGACGGTAAAGTCACGAAGGACATTGAGGGTATGGTGGCGGATTTGGTTGGCCTGATCTTCATTACTAGCTTGAGAGGCAGATGCCCACATATGCTTCAAGTGAGCATACACCACCTTTGGATGTGGGTTACTGGTCATACCATTATGATCACGGTCAATGACCATGAGACTCTTGAGGGTTTTGTCAGATAGAGACAATCGACCACTCTTGCGACACAAATTGGCGAACTTGATCCACATGTCCATGTCGTCCTGCGGAGAAACAACCATGGCGCGTACTCGTAAGATGCGTTGCCATACCTCTACATTACGTTGACATCCATTCAAGCGTTTCATCCACGTCTTTCGAATGGAAAGTTGTCTCTCCGGATCACTCGATGATTGCTTATAAGTGATCATCTCCTCCAATTCAGCCAACATCTGAACTCGAACAATCGTAGTATAGGCTCTGTTGTAACTTTCTCCCAGCAGAGCCGTCATTTCCGTATCGAGCAAATCTCTGGTACGATTGATGAACTTTTCGGCGTCGGTAAATCGGTTGCGATGGACAGCAAGCACAGCGCGGAAGAATGCTCTGTCTGGGCTTTCTGGTACTAGAAGTGCAATGTATTCGTCCATTTGGTCCCATAGGCCGAGACCCCAAGCGGCGGCAGCTGCAAACGTTGCCATTCTCTTGCGGTTCTCCACGGGTGAATGAACCCATTTTTCTTGTGCCAACGATGAAAGGCGATCCCATTCTCCTAGAGCATGAAGACAGCGCATTCTACCTAGTGTGATTTCCATATCATTCGGCTTCTCTAGTTGCTGTCGCTCATACGCGTCCAAGGCATCTTGGTAACGGTGCAACTTTTCATACCAAGACACCATGTTTTCGTTTCTGAGACCAGCCTGGGCAAAGGTAAGGATACCAAGTGCTGCATCAGGTTGCTGTAAAAAGTTATTGATAGTCATCAAGCTTTTAATTGCGTCAAAAGACTGCTCTTGATGGAATTCGGTTTCCTTGTAATGCAATGCTTTTGCATAAGCATGACAGCGTTGTGCATAGTAACCAAGGGTTCGAATATCGATGGGCAGTGACTTGTTATCGTGCTCCATAAACTCGGCTAAATTCAAGAGCACTTGAACAATCTCGGGTGGTATATTGGGAGATTTCAAAGCTACTTCAAGTGATTTAACCAATTCTTCCTGTGTGGGGGGAACCATAAAAAGTTAGTGGCAAAGCCAAGCAAAAAATTGACTTTCACTTCACTTCACTTCATTTCTTTTTTTTTTTTTTT